AATTTTAAATTCCGCTGTAAACTCTGTTCCGTACGGTATATCGAACCTAACATCTACATGATAGTCACACATTTCAATTACAAATACAGATTTTTTGAAAAAGTCAAAGAAAACATTATATTCTTTGGAGTTGATTACAGAAAAAAAAAATACATAAGTATTTAATTTAGTGTATTGTTATTTGTAACTACCTTAGGCGAGAAAACAAAATAATATAATTTAATGCTACTTATAATAAAATTAAATGATGTTGCTTCAAATTAAATATTTATAGATACAATAAATGACAGCGGATTTGAATTAGAAAATTTAAATGTAACAGAAACCACGCGCAATTCTCAAACCACAAAGCGGGAACCCCCAAAAAAGTCCTCTCAACAATTATCCGACGTGGCGTCACGCGATTGGTTCTCATAACATAAACGCGGATCGACCAAACTCTCCCAATCTCACCGTCCACTCACTCCCCAATCAACGGCTCCCATTCTCCGCTCTAACACCCAAAAAAATTCGAAAAAACCTCCCAAATGGCAAAACCTTCTCTTTCCCGCTTTCATCATCTCTATATAAACACCCCACAACCATTCTCACCTTCACACAGCTCACAAAATTTATACACACAAATCCTCTATCTCTATACATCACTTCCTCCATTTGCTCAACAATGGCTCGCACCAAGCAGACTGCCCGCAAGTCCACCGGCGGCAAAGCCCCCAGGAAGCAGCTCGCCACCAAGGCTGCCCGGAAGTCCGCCCCGGCCACCGGCGGCGTGAAGAAGCCCCACCGCTTCCGTCCGGGGACCGTCGCCCTCCGTGAGATTCGCAAGTACCAGAAGTCCACCGAGCTCCTCATCCGCAAGCTGCCCTTCCAGAGGCTGGTGCGTGAGATCGCCCAGGACTTCAAGACAGATCTCAGGTTCCAGAGCTCTGCCGTGGCGGCGCTGCAGGAGGCTGCGGAGGCGTACCTGGTCGGACTGTTCGAGGATACTAATCTCTGTGCTATCCACGCCAAGAGGGTCACCATCATGCCTAAGGATATCCAGCTCGCTAGGAGGATCAGGGGTGAGCGGGCATAGGGTGGGTTGAGTCGCTGAGTTGAAATGCGTTGTGTTGTGGTGGGTTTGTGGCGATTTGTGTAAATCGTTTTCCGTTTAGGCTTATCTTGATGTAGCTTGTTTCATGAATTTAAGATCTAATGAAATCTGGAAGTTCCTTTTTATTTTTATTTCTAAATTTTTGCTGGTAATTTGGTGTGGTATTTTTAAATACTAATTCATAATTGCCCCAGTTATCTGATTTGCTTTGTTACAAAACAGCAGTTGAAGAAAAATTGTTATCTGATTAATTGATTCAAAATTGATGACGATTTCTTAATTGAACTGTAATTTATTGATGATTTTTTACCCCTTTTGCAATATATGTGAAGTTAAATTGACTTGCAATTGATTGATAATTTCATAATAAGGTTGTTTGTTTCAGCAATAGTGCAAATGTCTCTGTTTCATATTTCCACTTTCAGGTACCTTACTAAAGTCCCCCGGGTTTGCTGGGTCAAGGCCGGGTTTGACTGTTTTTGGGTCGACCCACCGGACTGGTCTAGGTCAGAAAACTATGGTATAAAAAATCCCAAAATATCAGTTACACAGAAAAAGAAAGTCATGCATAGCTTGAGTTTCAGTCCAGTAAGAGAGTGTGGCTCAACAGCAATAAACAATGAGACAAATGTGATGCAGAGTTATGACAGAAGCACGAAAAGGCACGCAATACCTGCCGATAATCCTATATATATATATACGACAATTAAAACAAAACAAATAAAGAATATTACAAACTCAAATATCCTGGTCTGAATACTATCATTACAAAACATGAAGGGGTGTAACTCGAAAACCCTTCCCATGTTTATACTTGTGCTTGTGATGGCCGGTTTTGTGCCTGTAACCAAGGCACATCTGTGCAAGAGCACATTTTTCTCTGCACTTCTCCATCTCATACCTTGCCGGGCTGCCGTGGCACCTTACAGCCCGATTCCTCCTACCGAGGCTTGTTGTGCTTCGGTCAAGGCTTTGGGCCAGCCCTGTTTCTGCGTGCTTGTAAATGGGCCTCCAGTTTCTGGTGTTGACCGGACCATGGCCATGCAGCTGCCCCAGAAGTGCACTGCAAACTTTGAACCATGTAAAAACTATTTGAAATCAATTTAACAATTCCACATTTTTCAGTTTAATTTTCAAGATTATTAGTAAACTCTAAACAATGATTGGGTTTCGGGACGAAAAATGGTAGGTTTTCGTAAATTAATCGCATAATATTTTTGTTGATTTGTGCAGGTGAAATTGCTAAATGATGAGAACAAAGGGTGAACTGCAGATGAGTCATGAAGGACAGAAGGAGTATCAGCTGACAGTTATTTACTGTGGTCAAATAAGTCTACAATAAGCAAATTTATTGGGAGTTTGAATTTTCTAGTAATTGTTGTTGTCTTCTTTTATCATTCTCGTGGCCAGAAATTAGTTTCTTTACAGCAGTTAAATCAGTTTCTTTACAAGTTCATTCTCAGAGAAGGCAAGCACTTATATAAATGTGTTTCTATCTCCAAGTATCGGTACGAAAAAATTAGATAACACTCCACAAGTGCTTTAATAACAAGAATTTCATTATGACAGCACAGTTTGAGCCAAAATTCAAAGAAACTATATTTGCTTAGAATCGTGATTTTCAGTCTCCTAAGCAAAGCAAGAACACAACCGAATATCATCAAAATAAGGCGTAAATTAACATCTATCTTTTACTATGCACATTATTCATACAGCAAGCTAAATTAATATTTTGATCACACACTACTGAGATAACATAACTTTCCGATTCCAATATCTTCTTCTTTCCCAGGAATAAAAGGAGCTGACAGAATCGGTCTTCCATCTACTAACATATTCTTCTTCTTCTTCTTTTTTGAGATTTTTTTTTTTTTTTTTCCTTTGCTGGGTTTGTTAGGCAAACCAAGATCGATTCTTTCTCTTCTACGTAGTTGGGCTTGTTTGCGAAGGTTTGTTTGAACACACACACTTCGTCTTCGTGTCAGTTAGAGTCTGCACAAGTTAGAAAGAACAGAAAAAAAAAAAAAAATAAGGAAGATGAGTGTGGTGAGAGATTTCAACTTTCATGTGAGTCCCAACTGTTATTTTTCTTTGATCTCTTACTTCTTGATAAAAGCGATGCATGTGTTATTTATCTTCATTACCTTAACTTGTTTCTGGAGGTCTTTAATGTACTCCACTGCTAAATCCAACATATCAGCTGTGTTTATTTGCTGCCAATAAACAGCAATAGGAACAAAGTTACAATTTTTTTACCGCAAAAAGAAGTTGAAAATATACGGCCCTATCTACCTACCTTATCCATACTCGGGAAAAGATCTTGCAGCTTCTTCATGTTGTCACTTATCCGAGTTCGTCTCATCTGCAAAAACAGCATACAAAATCGTATGTGAAAAAGCCTTGATCATAAAACTTTTCACAGTTTCATGCTATAACGTCGACTAGGACAGTTCCGTAAAAATTGTAAGTCACAAAAAGGAAGAAACTAATTTTTCCAATGTATAGAATTTACCCTTTCGGCTATGCTTCTTGGATGAGTGGCACAGCCTCGTTTGGCTCGAATTTGACAAGGAACAACAGCACTTTCTTGCTGGAAATGCAGATAATTTTCCACTGTCGCCATCTCAGAACTAGTTTTCGGCAAGCTCATGTGCGAAACTAAACCGCTCGGCATTTTTCTACTTTCTCCATTCTGAGCGAGAAAATTGTAAAAATCAGCACTCCAACAAATTAACGATAAACAAACGACCAGAAAAAAATAAAAGGATTTTTCGAAACAACCTTATATTGTTTTACAGGATTTTTCGTGCAAATTATTCCAAAATGTGAAGAAATGCAATCTACCTGATTTTCCAGCACATTGAAATTGGAGTACATTTTCGGTTCACCATCTCGATTTCTTTTCAAGGGAGGTTCATTCCAAGAGTTATTACCATTTCTTGATCGACCATTTTCAGGGCTACACGTGGAGGTGCTCTCGTTCAGATTTTCGGGTATGGTGGGCATAAATCGTGAGCCGGAACATGGGCCCACCGAGAAGTTCAAATGACTGCTAAAACCAGAAGCCGATGAGCTGGCGTCAGCATGATTTTGGACTCTGTAGTTCCCTACCTCTCCCATTACACCAAATCCTGTGGTTCACCAAAATGGGATTACAAACTCTAAACAAATTGGCTACTATTAACAAACATCTTATCCCAAAAAGTTAAAAAAATTAGGACAAAATGATTATAGTGTTATCTGATCCAGTATAGAGCTGAGATAAGACAAAAGTATGAGTTTTTAAGAACTATTCATTTTTTAAGTCTTTGACAAAAAACCACAGAGTAACTATTCAAATTTTTTTTCGAGTTTTTGACTTATGTTTGCAAAATAATACTAACTCTGAATCCCAAGTAGTCATCAATAATTCTACAGCATATCAATTCATGGGAAGTGCTACCGTCCCGTTACGGTATTATCCCATTGACCGTCTTAATCGTTGGATCATCTATCTTGTGCTAACTCAATGTGTATCCAACGATTAAAACACTCGACGGAATGAACCGTAAACCATAACCTTTCCTTTTTTTTTCCAAAAAGAGAAACTGACTAAAATAGTTACATGATGTTTTTTTTCTCCTTCCGTTTGTCTTTGTTTTTTCCCAGATTCAGCTCATTTATTCTTGTTTATTAGTTTTCATTGTTACTTTCCAGATCCAAAAACTTATCCTCAAGGCCCCAAAAAGTCAATTTACCCAAGAAAAATCAATAACCTATCCGTGGAAAAAAAAAGAAGAAAAAAGGGGGAAATAATTGCTGAAATTTTCAAGAAAAAAAAAAATAAAATTGCAATTAAAAAGCCCAGCAAATAAAATAAAGTTACCATTAAAAAACCCAGCAGGTGAGCTGCTCTGTCTAACCAGATTCGAGCTGTTTCCATTATCAGCCAAGCTCACATGAACCTGATTCTCCATACCCACGGAGTAAGACCCGACATACCCGCCCGCGTGCCCGTTTGGGAAAAACCCGGGTCGGGTCTCCGTTTCGTCCCCAATCTCCTGCTTCGTGGGGTACTGCACCTGATGCTGATTTTTCTGATTCAGATCGTGCTGGGCGTCAATCAAGGCGGAGAAGAAAGCTTCAGATTCGTCACCGCTGCTGCTGTTGTTATCCGGGTTCGGATCCAAAAGGGCCGCGAGGAACGAACTCGGGGCGGACCGATACCTTGATAAGCCATAGCCCTGGAACAAATCAGAGCCGTCGTTGATTTCTCGGCCCTTGGTAAAATCCCCACCGCCGGTGGGGATACTGTTCTTGATTAGAGTGTTTTTGTTGGCGGGGTTCGAGAAGGCAAACCCATTGTTACTGCTTATTTCTGAGCTGCTAAACATAGTTCAAACTTCAAAGCAAAAACAAGAAGGAAAGTAATAAAGATTAAATTTTTACAGTGAAAACTGAAAACTTAAAAGGAACCCATTAATGGAAACTTCAAGGATTGGTATATTGCTTGGAGTTTCTCAAAAAAAATTTATTTATTTTTATTTTTTTGAGCTTTTTAGCTGAAATTAGAGAAAACGAGCTGAGAGTTTTTCTCAGAGCTATGTGTATTTATCGAGGAGCCCTCGATTTTATCCAAATTTACACGTGAAGTTGTTGATTGGACATTAATGGACAGGTTCAGTGATTTTTGTTTAAAAATTTAATTACATGTACATATCCATTTGCCATGTCAGCGGGTGGGCCCGCTCGTGTCAGCATCTGTTGAGCCCTCACTAGAGGACAAAATCACATCGGTTTGTTGCAAACAGTATTTGCTTAGATCTTGTGAGATCCATAAATAAAAGAATCAGCTATTTCTTCGCATAATAATAGTTTGAATGACAAAAATAACGTGTATATTTAATAAATAATTGTAAATTTAAAAATACTGTAATGTGTAAGACAATAGTGTCGTACATGTATAATTATATGTTAAAGTTTATATTATATTTTGTATTACATACACATAAATAATTTTAAAGAATATATACGGTTGCGACAACGGCGGATCCAGGACATTTATGTAATGGGGGCCCACGATACTATGGCCCTAATCCCTTCCCTAATTCACCATCTCGGGCCTCCTCTGGCATGAATGGTTCTTTAGCATCTTCAGTATTGTTCTTTAGCATCTTCTTTCTTCCCACAATTCACCATCTCGGGCCTCCTTTGACATGAATTGTTCTTTAGCATCTTCAGTATTGTTCTTTAGCATCTTCAATTTGTTGGGGGCCTGTGACCCCAACAAACTAGGCTGAATCCACCATTGGGTTGCGAGACAATAACTATTAGAATATAAACCTCACCCAAATACAATAACTAATCGATACATGTATTTGGGTGGGACTTTTGGATCCTAGTAAAAAAAACGAAACTATTACTAGAATATAAACCTCACCCACCCAAATACATGAACTTCCATTGGAGCCCATAAATTGGTTATTTTTGTTCATTTTTCATTAGTATTATTTTGGGGGTCAATGAGTTTGAGTTTCGTGGATCCATTTTCTTAGGTTTTTCGCTAACGTTATAAAAGCCTTTGAAGTATGGGGAAACTTTAGCACAAAGTTTTCGTTCTTTTCACATTTGAGCAGTTGGAGTGAGGGATTGAACTTTGATTTGTGCCATTTTTTATTATTATTATTATTATTTTTAATAGATTGGATTAGTACTACCGTACTGTGATAATACAATATTAATGTTTGTATTTTGAATTTCGATTATTTGCAAATGATAATTTTTATTCATGATCATAATCACTTCACTCAACCAGAATTGAGAAATAGGATGATTCTCATTCAATAATGACTTTTTTTTTTTTCCCTTAAAAACATTTACATAAAGTAATATTGAAAAGTTATCACGAAAGTCAGGATGGCCGAGTGGTCTAAGGCGCCAGACTCAAGTTCTGGTCTTCGTGAGAGGGCGTGGGTTCAAATCCGACTTCTGACAATTTATATAATTCTTTTTATTTTCTTTTTTTTTTTAATATATATATATTTTCTTACACTATAATCAAGAACTTTGGAATTTTGAATAATATTATTTGGATTTGGGAAATAAAAATTGAGTTATTTGTTATTTTCCGAATTGTAATTTAATTTTAATCATACTCCATAAGGGCTCATGTAATATTGTGCACATTATGTGCTAATCGAGAGAGCAAAATTTGTTTGGAAGTGCCACAAAATCCAATTAAAAGACAAGAGCCAAGAAAAGTGAATCTAGTTAATTTATATACATAAAAATGACTCCAAATTATTGTTAATTGCTAACTCATTTATATGATACTTAACGATATAATTACACACTTTTATTCACAAAATGTGGTGAATTCTTGTGTTTTTTTTTTTAAATATATATATATATATA